TCTTTTCTACTGCTACAAGACAAGCTATAGATTCTGAGTATAGCCAAGGGATCTGAAGACTGTTTGGCAGCCTAAAACTCTAGTGATTTTGTGGCAAGCTAGGTTTTATTCTTGGGGCTGAGAGAACTGTGACTGGCCCAAGGTCACCCAGCTGGCTTCATGTGGAGGAGGAGTGGGGAATAAAAAGACATATAACCAGGGGTCGTTTCGTAGAAAAAGAGCTAGGGGAACTCATTAGCATAACTCATTAGCATATGCCACACCCCCTGACATCACCGGAAGTGTGTCATAAGGCCACACACCCCGCCCCCAACGGTCCCGGCCGTTGCCGCCGGCCTTGCAGCTCCACTGCCGAGCCCCATGAGGGGCCCGGCGCCCCGCCCCCGTACCTCACCCGGGGGAACTGCGATCCCCCGCGATCCCCCCCGAAATGACCTTTGCATATAACCAATGCTCCCTCTAAGCTGTGGAGTCTTGTGAGGAAAAATTTTACTTTGTAAGCTACTGGCATTAAAGTTGTGAGCAAGCGATTTGGCTACTGCATAAATTAGGTTGCTCTGGAGCCATCCTTCCTGAGCCAAGACAAAAATCTGAGGTGGAGGCTAAAAAACTATGAGCTAGCTCACACTAGAGCTGTGGTGGCTCAAGTGGTTAAGACGCTGAACTGCAGGCTGTGGAAGGTCAGTAGTTCAGCAGTTCGAGACCCGAGTGTGCCGCATGACAGAATGAGCTCCCGTCTCTAGTTCCAGCTCCTGTCAACCCAGCAGTTCGAAAGCAAGAAATTGCAAGTAGATAAATAGGTACCACTTCAGTGGGAAGGTAAGAGCGTTCCGTGCACTTTGGTGTTTAGTCATGCCGGCCACAAAGCTCTTCGGCTTTGAAACGGAGATGAGCACCGCAACCCTAGAGTCGGATTCGACTGGCTTTCGAGGAAGGGAACCTTTACCTTTACTAGCTCACACTAACTCAGCTTAGAGGGAACACTGCATATAACATAACATCAGACACGAAGCCCTTCATGTCCTTGGACCCTCATACCTGCAAGACTGCCTCCGCTCCTACACTCTGCCAGTTTTGCTCACTGGAGCAGGGTCTTCCGCAGGTGCGAACCTGCAAACAGGCACCTTGCTGTGGCCCCCACCTTATGGAACGGCCTGCCCTGAGGTGGTCAGGAAGGATCCCTCTCTCCCGGCTTTTGGCAAACTATGCAAAACTGAATTATCCAAGAGGACTTTTCTATGCAGGCAATAGAATCAGGCTGTACTAAAATATCTATCCGAAGAAGTGAATGGTGACTCACAAAAGCTCCCACACCCTGCCACATATTTTTTTAGTCTTTTAAGGTGCTACTGGACTCTTGCTCTTTTCTACTATACTAAAATGTTTCACAAAGTTACTTGGAAACATTATTCGGGACTACTGTGGACAGTGTGCTGAAACTAGGATCCTATTATGTAACTTTGGTGTAGTGGTTAAGTGCATGGACTGTAACCTGGGAGAACCGGGTTTGGTTCCCCACTCCTTCACTCGCAGCCGCTGCATGACCTTGGGCAAGCCATAGTTCTGTCAGAGCTGTTCTTGAAAAAAGAGCAGTTTCTGTCAGAGCTCTCTCAGCTCATCCGACCTTACAGGGTGTCTGTTGTGGGGAGGGGAAGGGAAAGGAGATTGTCAGCCGCTCTGAGACTCTGAGAGAAGGGTGGGGTATAAATCCAATCTCTTCTTCATGATTGAATGTGTCATTTGGCTTTAGTTCTATTTTTAGACTTCTGGCTGGTTGTACAACCTTAATTCCTATTACATTGTTTACTGAATGTTCCATCCTCAGCATTGTAATCTGCCTTGAGTCCAAGCAAGAAAGGCAGACTATAAATAATGTTAATAACTTTTAAAAGTGTGCTAGAAGTGAATGGTATGTAAACAGGAGTTGGACCAAAAAATAACATCCAGTTGGAAGTTTTTCCCCATGGTCAGATAAGAGTCGATTTTGTCAGAATGGCTCAATTTATTTATTTTTTAATTTTATTTATTATTATATTTCTACCCCGCCCTCCCTGCGAACGCACTCAGGACGGCTCACAAAAAGGGCACCATGTGCCAATATAAAACAATCCGCAGGCCGCTTTTCATCTCTCCTTTAAAGGGATGGACGCACATCCCTTTCTAACAGGGATTTCTGAGCATTTGCATCATAACTTGGAATCTTCTTAGGGCAGGGGAATACAGCCTTGTAACAAACCTGGTTGTGAGTTATCACAAAGAACGTATATGGACAATTATTGGGTATAGATTTAACAACCTTTGAGATTATTCCCATGTGAATGGGGACTTTCAACATAGCCACCATTTTCTTTGGACATCTGGGAGGAGTCATTCTTAGATAATCCCTTAATCCACTTTACCTTTCTAATTAAAGCACACCCTACTTTTTGAAAAGTACAGGATGTTCAGTAATCCAAGATTATCACTTGTTAATCAGTAGCCATAGACTCTCCTTTAGAAAACAGGATGGCATTTTAGACTGAACATGCCTGCATATGAAAACAAATTTCACAGAAAAGTAAACAAATCTATATTGCTGTTTTCTTTCTTTTTTTTAAATTGCCTAACACATCTAATAAATTCTGGGGAATTATAGAGTCGGAAGGGACCTCCAGGGACACCTAGTCCAACCTCCTGCACTATGCAGGAAATTCACAGTTACCTCCTCCCCACACCCCAGTGACCCCTGCTCCATGCACAGAAGACAGCAAAATAACCCCTCCAGGATCCCTGGCCAAACTGGTGTGGAGAAAATTGTTTCCCAACCCCAAAGTGGCAATCGGCATTTCCCTGGTCATTTCCTTAGCAGCTTACCCTCTTTGGGTTCCATTTTAGGGAGAAATAGGGGATTATAAAAGTTTTCAACAGATAATATCAGGATTCCCCAAGAAAGTCAGTAAAAACAGATGACCTTTCTAGAAAGAAAGTCTACCCAACACCTCTAACCTTCCCCTGCCTTTTGCAGACACAGAAGAGGGTTAGGAATTCCCCCAAATAAGTTTTCTTTTACGATTATTACTCTATGATTTTCATTTTCCATGCAAAACACGTTTGCGGCTTCCTTCCACAAACGTTTTGGGACAACATTCTCAAGTCCTTGTGCCAAGGGAACCCCCATGCTCAACTGCAAGCAGACAGGAGCAAGCGTCCAACTAAAATCCTCACCTGTAAGGCAAACACAGAGTACCTGGGCGAGAGGGGGCCCCTGAACCCTGCCACATCCACAACCTTCCCTCACTGGGCCGTTCATTTCAGCACCTTTCTTCCACATACACACCCTTCAGGAAAAGATGGCAGATTTCATTCCATTTGTCCCATGCTCTGGTTTTTTAGATAAAGAGGCACTCCAAGTATTGCTTTCTTAGCATGTCAATGGGTATTTACCTTTTCCCTCTCCTAGCAGCTAGGGAAGCGGTAAGGTAAAGGTAAAGGTTCCCTTGCTCAAAAGCCAGTCGAATCCGACTCTAGGGTTGCGGTGCTCATCTCCATTTCAAAGCTGAAGAGCCAACGCTGTCTGAAGGCATTTCCGTGGTCATGTGGCCGGCATGACTAAACACCAAGGCGCGGAGAACGCTGTTACCTTCCCACCGAAGTGGTACCTATTTATCTACTTGCAATTTCTTGCTTTCAAACTGCTAGGTTGGCAGGAGCTGGAACTAGAGACGGGAGCTCACTCTGTCATGCGGCACTCGGATCTCGAACTGCTGAACTACTGACCTTCCACAGCCTGCAGTTCAGCATCTTAACCACTTAAATTAGGAGGGTGCAGCTGGTTTTACATGAAACTGGGCTTTTCATTCACGTCTCAGGTGTATTCGTCCTCATCATAGATATCAGTTGGTGAAGCCCTTCCTTTCTAGGGTGAGGAGACACGTATCTCTACCCCCCTCCTTGCATCTGCTGACTGGAGCATATAAACAAGTAATATATCACTTTTCTTTTCAAGTGCACTGCCTGGGGGGAGAGGGGGGGTCTACCTTCAGACTGCACCAAGCAAAATATGTGCTGTTGGCAGGCGATCAGATGTAGCATCAGAGCAGAGAACCTGTAACTTATGAGAATCAAGAAAAAAAATTAGAATCAGCTGTTGGTAGGAAGTGGAACGCTGTGTACAGAACCGCATATGGAGAGGATCTTCTTTGGTGGGAACATCTGTTAGCTTGTCTGGGTGGAAGATGCCCCTGAGAGTTCCAGTAGCTGCTAAGTTACTCTCTCCAGGATTGCCTTACTTCATCCAGTTCTTGAGAAACAGGCTGTGTGAGACATTAAGTTGTTTCTATACATTAACACCTGTCCTCTGGAGCAACTTCAAGGCCCAACTGGCCCGGCCCATTTTCGTTATGAACAGAACACATGTCTAACTCATACTTCAAAATTCTACCAAGGATTCTACAATAGGCACACAAGGGTTCATTTGCTTGCAAATCAATGAGGGAGCATCCTTTGATGGTGGAAAATGTGTGGGTAGGGAAGCACAGGAAACACTGCTATAGGGGATGCAGTAGTAACCAGATGTTAAGTTTGGTGCAGAGAAGTGGCAATGAGCCTGCAGATCTCAGGTCCCCATCTCTAGCCTCTCCATTTAAAGGTCTTAAGCTACGCACCCACCCGAATCTATCTTAAGTAGTAGAGTTAGGGAAGATCCAAGCTCACCCACTGAGTTTCTTCTGGACCACCGGTATAACCAATCCCATGTATGCTGTGATCCAGACACTGGGTTACCTAGCCCTATGGTCCAGTGTAAGGCAGTTTTGAAGAACCAAAATAATACTGAGGGAACAACAGATTCATGCAGGATGAAATACATAGAGGGAAAGCCTACAGGATCTTCTAGTTTCTACCCATATTGACACATAACCCCATACACCACATAAAGAATGCTGGAGACCTCGCCACCTCATCCCATCAGTGTATCTTGGCTGACTTACAAATTTCAACACAGCATACTAAAATATGTGCATTTATTCAAATAGGATTCTGATCTTGTGAACCGTTTGGCATTGAGACAACAGGACAGCTTTCTTTAAGCATTACAAGTCGATGGTACAATTAAGTTCTCTTTCAGTCGCGCTTCTACAGAAGGACAACAGAGGGAGGAAGGGCTTGCGCACACACCATACAGCTAAGTCATTCACAGCACTTGTCTGTTCTAAGCTCCCCCCACTAGCGATAATGCGTGCAATGGTGATCAACGCAACGTCGATGCAAGTTGCCTTGTATTAGGTTGTAACTTGTGAACATGTTCTGCAGGCTGAGAAAGAGACAGGACAGGAACCAATTAGCAAATAGCCTTTTTGGAGACAAAGAGTATGAAAAGACTGTTTGACCACATGCCAGAATCCACAGAAGTATGCCTGGGTCTACCCAGGAAGACATCCTGGATTTCAGCCCCTCTGAAGACTTTTAAGTGAGGCTGCATTGGCCAAATCCGGTTCCACTGTTGAAGTAGAAGGAATACTCGGGAGAGGTCCGTTTTGTATTTCCTGTTAAGAAAAGGTCAAATTTCCGTATGCTTCCGAAGAGGCCATGCCCGGCACATCTTTTCGGCCTGCAGAATGCCATCAAAACCCTGACTTTGTATCCCTCCTGAACACAAGATACAATACCACTAGTTGCTTCAATATTTTAATTCTCCAATTGAACGCACCACAGCTGGGGAAGAGTCACATTACGTGGAGACCATATATAGATGATGTTTGTAAATGGATTTTCACTCTACCACCTGCTCAAGTATATCCCAAAAGAAACATCCCCCCCAAAAGCAGTCCTTTCAGCAGAAAAAAAACGCACTGAAAATTATCCTTATATTACAGAAGTGGGCTCCTCTTTGGCGCTGGTGGCGGGCAGCCAAGGGTGAAAAAGTTCAGAACACAAAGAATCCCTTAAAGAAGAAAACACTTTTTAATTTAACAACACTAATTTTTTTTAGTATCCGTTTTAGTCCAAGGCACCTGTAAGAATACTTGCTGGTGTGAACTTTTTGAGTGAGCTGCGGCACAACACCGTTGTGCTGTTCTGGCTGATCTGAAGAATGCTCTCCTGCATTTGCTCTCACTTGTGACTTCGTTTTTGAGACAAGGGGTTAGCTTGGAGCAGCCGCTTCTTTTAGCGAGAGCTGTAAACAGAGACTCGACACCACTGAGAAAGTTTTATCACGTACAATCCAGCACGTAACGCAACAGATACCATCTGGAAGGAGAGACGCACAATCCCATTAAGAGAAGCAGAGAAGCATTGCATAGGTCTGTTCTTCAAATTGTCGGGGGCAAGAGCGTTCACAAGGTATGTAATACTGAACGTGGTCAGGCAGTAGCCGCCTTTGGAGATCTTCCAAACGGTTAGCTTTTCGGCTAATGTTGGACTCTTCTGTCTGGGAAACTAAGGTAAGGAGCATCCTCTCGTCAGTTATAGTTTTGGGAGCATTTAAAAATGGGGGCCTTGAAGACAGCAATGGAAAAACAAGTTCGAGATGTCAAACCAAGGCAGATCAGGTTCATAGTCTGAGTTGGGGAATCGGCTTCACCCTCCCTCCCCTTTCAACAAAATCCTTACATGATAGTATGACTCAGAGTGGGAATACATGTCCGAAACGTGAGTGGATTATACATAAAACCATTCAGCAAGAGCTGAAGGGTAAATGATGGTACAGTCTGTAGGAACGCTGTCAAGGTAGTACCCATTATGCTCCTGGCCAAACAGCTCTGCCGCTCTGAAGGGCTCGTTGACACATCTGTATGGTTTGCAATAACGCTCAGTGACTCAGTCCCACCACTAGACCGTATGCTATCAAGCTGGATGAATTTAAAGTCATGCACATTAAGGTCTCTTCGCTGAAGAGAGAGTAAAGAACACTTTTACAAAAGTCTACTCGGTGTACAAAGTAGTATATCAAAACATGCTCGGAAAGGGGCGCCAATGCTTCTGCTGAATTCGTTCTCTCCTGCTGCATCCGCAAAATAAAAAAAACTCCCCAAAATGTTGGTCCATAATTGTTTTTTTTGTTCCGGAGATGTCTTCCTTACATAAATGCCTTTTGCTGGTAAGTCGTTTCAAGTTCAGGCTTGCAACTTTTTTACAACCCTCTTTTCATAAAAACAGAAGGGGAATGCCATTTGGCAGTCTTCCCCTCCCCGCCACACAAAATAAATCTGATATATAATATTCTGTGACAAGATCTCCCACAGACCAAAATGATAAAATAAATCAGGGACCTTTCTTACGTGGTTCTCCAACCTGGGAAATGTCTTGACCGCAGGTTAAAGAATACTCCAGCTTCTAGAGAAAGGCAGAACCTGCCTCGGTTTTGTTTCAGTCAGTCAACGTCACAATATTTTAAATCCGGAATTCAGTGTACTCAGCCGAAAACTCGATAATTTACAATATTGAAGCATTTTTAAACACTAACGTTTCCCTCATTCGCAAACTCATGAACTGGCTCTGCCCGTATGACTGGCCATCAAAAGAACTTCTTAGCTGCCGCTTCTTGCTGACTCCTAAAACCACACAAAAAGAGAGAAACCCGTCAATTCAGATGGAAAGGAGGAGGTCGGTCTTGGCTGTCTGAAGGCAGCAGGGCACCTTTCAGGTCAAGGGCAAGCACGAACCACGGGCTTCATCTGGAAACTACTAAACCCAGAGGTCGATTCGGGGGGGATCGCGGGGGATCGCAGTTCCCTCGGATGAGGTACGGGGGGGGCACATGACGAAGCCCCGCCCCCTGCTTCCGGCCGCCCCGCTTCCGGCCCTCATTCAGCCAGGAGGAGGCAGGAGAAGAGGGAGGGTAAGTTGCTTCCTCCCCGCCTCTCCCCACCCCTGCCTGGGGCCAGGGAGGGCCTTGGCGGGGCTTCCTCGCACTCCCGCCGGCCTTGCAGGTCCACCGCCGGGCCCCTGGTGTCAGGGGGTGTGGCATATGCTAATGAGTTATGCTAATGAGTTCCCCTAGCTCTTTTTCTACGAAACGATCCCCAAACAGTGCTGGCTCCAAGTAGCGCTGACTCCAGCATTACGATCTACCAAACGAGTTTTGCTGAGACTGAGCCCCACATACAAATTATACTGTTTTAGATTTCTTTAAAAAAGCGTTACTGCATGAACTCTTTAAACCAGGCATATTTACTTCTGGGATATGACGGCAAGCCTTGGAGAAAGACTGGGAAAGCGATGGAACCATCTTTTTAAACTATCACACGTGGAAATGAGGATCGCCTGAGCTGCGAATGTTTTTTTTAGAGCCCAGGCTGATAAGCTGTTATGGGCTGGCTCACATACTACATGGCAACTGCAAACAGGAGTGCAGGGACTCCATTGCCAACGACCTTTGTGAAGGCAGGGCTTCATCTTTCGTTTTGTTGCTTTCCCACTTGGCCAGGCAACCAACCCGCAAATGGGCAAAACCGACAACTGCCCGTATGGGTGCTCTCTCTGTTGGGGCTCCCAACTTGTGGGACGGCCTGCCCAAGGAGGCCAGGAAAGCTCCCACTCTCCTGGCCCTCTGAAAACTAGGCAAAACTTAACTATTTGAGAGGGTTTTTCTGCACAGGCAATAAGGCTACTTTAGGCCAAATGGTTCACAAACTTGCTTGGATAAACGACTGATACTGGTCTAATACTGCTGCTGCATATAGCTTATGGTAAGCAGGATCCTACTATGTCATTTTTGCACCACTTAGGTGTTAATACTATGCTATACTTCAGTTCTTTCTGGTGGTTCCAGATTTCTAATCTCCTAATGAATTCGTTATTGAATGCCCCATTTTGCTGACTGTACTAACTCACTATGCGTCATCCACCTTGAGTTCACAGAATCATAGAGTTGGAAGGCACCCCCAGGATCATCCAAGTCCAACCCCCTGCACAATTCAGGAAATTCACAAAATACCTCCCCTCCCCACACACACCCAGTGACCCCTGCTCCACACCCAGAAGATGTAAAAAAAAAACCCTCCAGAATTTCCAGCCAAACTGGCCTGGGGAAAAAATTGCTTCCTGACCCCTTTTGTCTGTGAGAAAAAGGGGGCTACATTTTTATTTATTTTATTATCAAACTTATACCCCGCCCTCCCCGCATTATATAAATAATGTAAATCCCCACCACCACAGGAACACACCAGCTGCTTTCTCTGGATGTGAGAGATTAAAAACCAGTACTGGACCATGGGTTTGTGGTGGGGGAATGAGTTTCAGGAAGGAAAACGGCTTGAGAACAAGGGTTCTCAGCCGTGGACCACGGGTACCCAGGCCCTGGCAAAACAAAAACCAACCCTCTGCTTCTCGACCGGTTCGCTATTTTATCAATTGGTTCAGAAACCAAGGAGACCCCATTAGGCCCCTCCGCAGCGACTGGGGTCCCCCTCGGAAGGGCCTTTTCACAAGCTGAACTAGTCGGTCCTGCTGAAGCACACATGACCACAAATGGTTTGTTCTGAGCCACACCTGAACAGTGACTTACTTGTACATGATGTAGCCAACAAACAGCACTGTCTGGATGGCTACAAATATAAAGAAGTGTGTTGTCGATAAACATGATGGAAACGGAGGCAGCTCTGGACATTTGGGCTTTTCGTTTGATGGCTGGAAAACAAGAGGGATCACTCAGCAAGTGGCTGCCATAAATCAGCTGCGACTTGACCGCGCTTCACACACACACACACACACACACTCACTCTCTCTCTCTCTCTCAAAGTAGTACTTCAGTGTTCAACAAACGCTGGTCTTTCTTGCCAGGGTGGGCACTGGTATTTCCTGAATCAGACAATGAAAGGACTTGATCCAGGCCTGGCCCAGGGGAGCTCTCAGGTGCCTTGAAGTCACCTGGTAAGATGCCTGGGATGGCACCAGCCTACGTTCATTCTTCCCACTGACACATGAAAGACTTTGGCAAGGTTAGGTGCAGCGGACAGGGACCGTGAGGCTGAGCGTGCTGCCTTAGAGGCAGAAGGGCTCACCAAAGATACGTGTCCTCCAAGGCAGTGTGCTCAGGTTCACTGACCAGAAGCCCACAGACAGGACGTGAAACAAGCCCGCTCGCAACTGACCTAAACAGTGGTCAAATGACAAAGAACAGCTCTGCCAGCCAGGCCATGCTAGCTCACACTAACTCAGCTTAGAGGAAACACTGGTTCGGGGCTGAATCAGAGTTACAGAGTTGGAAGAGACCTCAGGAGCCACCGAGTCCTGCTCCCTGTGAAGGAAACCTACAGCCGGAGCTGCCCAGTCTTTGCTCGAAGGCCTCCAACAAAGGAGCGTCGCCCACCCTCCCTGTCATTGATACCATCGTCAAACTGCTCTGTTGGAAAGCTTGCAGAATTGTGCTCCTTATGCAAAACCCCAGCGGTGTTCTGCACCCATTGCCTTTCCCCCTTTCCAATTTATGTATCAATCCTAGACTCTGTAGCTCTGCTGCAAATGCTTTTAGTGGCCTCATACAGATAACCATGTCAGACAGAGATGGGTCTACAGGACTTGTCTTATCTGTACACCCAGGCAATGTCTGTATCCCCCTTTTTGGGGATACTTTTGCATACGTGTGTGTGCATGCCCATGCCTGGGAGTCATGGCAACCTCTGGCGACTCCTACTGGGGCATGGAGGACGTTCAGAGAAGTGGCTTGATCGCCTGCCTCTGGCCTCCCTGCCCTGGTATTCCTTGGAGGTCTCCCATCCAAATACTTGCCAGGGTCGGCCCTGCTTAGCTTCTGAGATCTGACAAGATTGGGTTTGCCTGGCCTATCCAGGTCAGGGCAATGTCTGCACTTTCAAAGTCCTGGGAGTGCAGATGCGGACGGGGGCAAGACAGGTGTGCTCAAATAATGACCTACCCGGTCCTTTTAATGGGAGATGCTGGGGACTGAACCTGGGACCTCCTGCACGCAAAGCTCATGGTCTATGAGTATAAAACTAGATCTGTGTGGCTTATTATGACAGTAAGAGTATCGCACAGAAGAAGGATGTTGAACATGCGCACTCTTCTCTTTGCGTTTTGCTCCAGGCACTTTTTCTCAGCTTACTTCCAAAAGGAGAGCCAAGAAGGGAAGGCAGCGCTCGGAACAAAGAAGCAAGGCAAGAGGAGGCCCACTGATAATACCAGCTGCATCCCTCTACCCCCTGATTAACAGGTGCATGTGGTGATGCAGCCCTGAACCGGATGGGCCAGGCTGGCCTGATCTCGTCAGATCTCGGAAGCTAAGCAGGGCCGGCCCTGGTTACTGTTTGGATGGGAGACCAGCAAGGAAGACCGGGGTCGCTACACAGAGGCCGGCTATGGCAAACCACCTCTGCACGTCTCTTGCCTTGGAAACCCTTTGGGGTTGCTGTATGTCGGCTGCGACATGACAGCCTTTTCCACCATGGTGGATGTGACCGATGACCCCACCTCATCTGCTTTGCCTTTTCGTGGCAGCATGCAGATCCGCATGACCGAACGGTACCATGCTCACAAACATCCCCGTACCATGTTTCTCTGGACTAGGTGTTCAATGTCCCTCTTCACTACGTGGAGATGCTCCTTGATGTCGTTGAAGTGTTGGGTTGTTTCGTAGATCGCACCAGCAGAGCCAGGATGCTGAGCGCCACTGACTAGCCTCAACGTCTCTCCCACGGAGTTTCTGGAAACAGACAAAACAACCTTTTCAGTCACTTCCATTGTGCCCCTCTCTACGGCAAGAGGAAAAGCTTCCTGCTCCAACTCCAAGACACTAATCATTCCTTGGCAGAGCTCCCTTTATTTGCCAGGCAGGAAGGCCAACTGGATCAGAGAAAGAGGGAAGAAGTGGAGCCCCGGGACAGAGAGGTCTCTTCTCTCCTCCTCCTAGCACAACTGATGCTCCAGCAGAATCCTGTAGCTCTTCATCCCTGCACGGCAATAGATGGGGGAGAACAGCTGAGAAGCAGAAGGGGAGGATCCCGCCAAAGACTGGGGAAGAGGGGTCAACAGAGCCCTTTGCTTGGCTGTGCTGCTTGTGGGAACCGGCTGACGAATCCTGCCGTGGCTGTTTAGACCTCACACGACTCAAAATGACCCCCCTCCCCAGGTCAAAAACCTGCCAGGGGCAGAAAGTCAGAAACGAGACTCTTGTACTGATCGGCACTGATCCAGGGCACAAGCCTTGCGTCACGCTGTATGGGTGTGGAGTTTGACTGTACAAGGTGTCCCGCCCCATTAAGAAACACTGGGACAGGCGGCAAAGTAGAATGCGGTCCCACACCAAAACACGTGCTCTCTGCCCCAATGTCACAATTTTTCCATGGGGAAAAGATGTCCCCCCATTTTTTCCAGACCTACATCACTACTCAGCTCTGCTTAACTTCAGCAAGGTTGCTGAATCATGTGTCTTCTAAGCATCCACTGGAACATCTTTATCTTGTGGTCACTGTAAACGGCCACTCACATTACCTATTAAGACGGATAATCACAGCTTTACGTACTTTCTAAATTGTCATCAGTTGGGTGAATTTTTCTTCAGTTTTCCCACTGGAACTGGCTTTCCTCCCCCCCAGCTCTTGAAATTCCCAAGCACCAAGCTCTCCAAATTATTTTACTGCCTTTAAAGATTGCACACATTGAATGTGACACATACGATCCAAATGTAGAAAAGACTAGCTGTATGTAAAGAAAGGAGTTTTTGGACAAGTTGCAGCTTGGTTTCTGACACGGTTTTCAATCTAAGTCTCCCAAAGCTTTCAATAATATCATAATTCCCAAAGAAGCAAAATTCTATTTCAAAAAAGGCAAACAGAACTGTTGAAATGCCCTCATGTAAGAAATAAAGAAGAAGCTTTAGGGATCAGCAAAGATTTAGGGATGAGGGTCATGATTACCTTTTACAGGACAAATTCATTTCCTGCATGCATCAATGCAATACGTAGCATTATCTTGGCCTTTCGGCTCATACAGAAAACAAATTAAAGCCATGAACGGTGCAGATGCTGAAGCTGTGATTAGACATCTAAACCGAGCTGATAAGGTAGCCAGGATGGTTCTTAATCAATATGTTTATATATATTTTCCCTATTATGATGCTTCTTTCCAGTTGCAAAGAGGATTAATGCCCACTGCTGGATATCATCACATGAATGATAATCTCATCTCAATGTTAACAGAACAATCAAAATTTGTGTCTCGAACCAGATTTTCATTTACTTGAAACTGCAACTCTTGGCTTAGCCTTTTCCTTCCCACAAAAACGGGGGGGGGGGGGGGGGGGGGGACGCCTAACCAAAAAAAGATAACGTAAGCCAAAAAGGTTGAGAGCACAAAGAAACAGTAAAAAAAGGAGTATGATGCAAAATGTAAATGAATAATTTCAATTATGTGCACCAAACATAACAGCAGTCATTTAATACATAAACGGATCAGGAACTGGAAACAACTGTACACATACAACAAGATAACACACACACACTCCCAAATACAACGAAACAGAATGCCAAATGCGTTTCGGCACAAAGCTTTCATCAGTGATTTATAACCATAATTAGCACATTCATATCTAGGGTTGCCAGGTCATTGGGGAGCCACCAGCGGGGGACGGGGGGGGGGGGGGGGTTGCCAGATCCGGGTTGGGAAACTCCTAGAGATTTGGGAATGGAGCCTGAGGAGAACAGGGACCTCCAATGCTATAGAGCCCACCCTCCAAATCATCCATTTTCTCCAGAGAAACTGAAGTCTGGAGATGAGCTGTGATTCCAGGGGATCCCCAGGTCCCACCTGGAGGCTGGCATCCCTAGTCCAACTCACACCGCAAAAGACATAACGAATCAAAAGAACCAGCAAGATAACCAGATTAGTTTCTTGAAGTGAATTATATGCTCCTTATATGAAATCAAGCTTCAAATATTTCCACATCTGGATATCTCTGATCCAAGCAGGAACGATACATGTGTGTGAGTAATCTGGCTGTGATAATATCAAAAAACCAAAAAGTTATGTTCCGTATCCAATGAGGAGAATTTCTACTGCCCTAACCTTAGTGGCCAAAGACTAACTCAGTCTCATCAGATCTCGGCATCTAAGCAGGGTCAGCCCTGGTTAGTACTTGGATGGGAGACCACCAAGGAAGTCCACAGTCGCTATACAGAGGAAGACAATGGCAAGTCACTTCTTTTCTGTCTCTTGCCTTGAAAACCCTAGGGGAGTTGGCGGAAGTCGACTGACCTGATGGCAGGAAAAAAAAACCCTGAAGTTGCTGGCATTATCACTTTCTCACTTAACAGATTATACAATTTAAGAGGTACAGAACATGTGTCAGCCATGTCTTGGAGATTTCATCCGATTCATGCACAGGATCAAACTAGATCAAGATGACTTGTCTCCCGTTGCCCTTTTGAGGCTCCACTACAGCCTTGCAGGTTCTTGTTTTGGGCTGGGCCTCATCACGGAGAAAAGGGGGGATTTAACCCTTCCACGCTTGCATGGCTTTGCTGATCGAGCCAAGGTCCCCTGCTCTTAGTCTTTCGTTTTCTATAAAGGACCATAATGTTTGTTTGTTAGCAAAATTATGGAGGAGTGGGTTAAATTCTCCCTCCTCTCCTTGTGAGGCCGCAACCCAAATCAGGGCCTCCCGAAGCTCTAATTTAATGTATTATCTTGCTCTTACTGAATTACTTTCTACTTCTGTAATTCCAGTTTTTGCACTGTTTACAACATATCATGTCTGATACTTTTGAGCACTCTTTCTAATTTCTGTGAGCCAACTTCTATTGCATTGCCGTGGGATGTCTTGTGGTGTCTGAGTGCATGGCTTTACACTACATTATCATGCCTTAAGTTTCAGAAAAGGACGGTGGGCTAGAAATAATTTTAAAAGTCCGCTTAAATATCATCTACCAGTATCTCAGTTGGGGTAGCAGGTAAGGAGGTATTTTCTGTAATTGCTTGGATATTCATTCGAACTGCATCCCGAACCATTCTGAAACTCTTTTGTAGGGGAAACACGCATGGAGCTTGGGGTGTCTGTGTGTTAAGTGCTGTCATGTTGATTCCAACTTATGGCGACCCTATGAATTAATGACCACCAAAACATCCAGTCTGACTCCAGCTGGGTCTTCCTCTTTTTCTGCTGCCTTAAATTCTTTCTAGAATTATTGTCTTCTCCAGTGAGTCTTGTTTTCTCATAACTTGATCTAGAACCCACTTATTTGTCTTTTTGGTGGTCCCACCTTATGGGATATGGGAAATCGACATTCAAACCCTGATGAGCTATAGAAGTCAGTGAGTGAGTGTAGGCTAAACTCCTGGCCTCAGCTATTTCACGGTCTTCTTCCGATAAGACGAGAAATGTT